TTGCTTGGTTAGATTTAGATTTATGAATGCTTTTATGATTTCTATGGCTATTGTAGGCTAGCTTAACTAGGGTTTGAATTGTGAAAGTGTGTGATGATGATTCTTTTGTGACTTAGTTCTTGAATTAAGGATTGATTGATTGCAATGCTTCTATGTTTTGTTGTTGGGGATTGATTTGTTTGATTCAAGAATTGATTGATTGCAATGCTTCTATGTTTTGTTGTTGGGGATTGATTTGTTTGCATCAAAGGAACTTGATCACCTCCTATGGTTGTTTGAGAGATTGACCTATGCTAGGTCAATCCAAGCTCCCATCCTTAGCATTTCCTAGCTCAAGGAACCCTATGGGACTTGGTTGGGAAGGAGTTGTAGGCAAGGTATTTGTGGAAAGGTTTAGGTGAGACCTAAATAAGTCCTAGTAGTCTAAGTTACGAAAGGACATAAGCCACTCCCTAGACTTAGCATTTGCATCCTCTTTCCCTATGTCTAATGATTCTATAAGTATCTTAATCCACACTAAGCAATTCAACACTACCTACTTTTCATTTGATTACCACTTGTTAGCATTTGTTTTACTAGTTCACTACAACGTTTATCTTTTGTGTGCGCGTGACATGCAGGCAATCAATACCGATGTCTTTATTTTCTGATATTAGCAACTTAGGGGTAACTCCGAGCGACCATCCCTTGAGAACGACATAATCCGAGATTCATCTCAACACAATCAACTCTTATGCGATGTTTAGCAAGAGCGCAAACCAAAAAGGAAGCGTTATCAAACTGACGCCGTTGCCGGGGATGGCATTAGGTTTTAGCCATTTGTTGTTAATTAGGAATTTGACTTCGTTTATTGTTTGAACATTTGTTGCTTTCTTTTTAGTTGTCTTTTATTTTATTGTTGCTTGTTCTAACCCTCATCAACTACTTTTAGTTGTGAGGAGAAATCTTGTTGACTTGTTTTTCTAGGATTGAATGCAAACGAGATCAAAAGGGAACATAGGACTTTTGGCCTTTGAACTCGAAATTAATAAGGCAATCCGAAGGAGGACAACACAAGAACCAATTCCATTGAACGATATGGCTTCTTCAAGTGGTCGTAATCAAACTCAAGGAACGACGCAAGGAAGAGAATCTACTATGCATACACCACCTGTAACACCCCAGATTTTCAAGACTTTTAAAACTTATATAATAAAGATAGAATCTCATTAAATCCCAAAATACGATACAAAGAGTACGGGGTGCTATGCCGCACCCGAGCTAGAGAACTCGGGTGCACAGGCTAAATTCTAAAACCTCAATCAGTATCAATACTAAATCATGGCACGCAGGCCGAAAGGGAAAACTATCTAAGCTACGCCCCAAGCTTCTAGCGCGCTCCAGTGATCTACTCGTCTGTGCCTGAAAGCCAAATATATCTGTTCAGCGAGAGATGCTGGTAACCCACTCCAACGCGTTGAAATACAATACATATATATATATATATATATATATATATATATATATATATATATATATATATATATATATATATATATAGATAGATATACGAAAACCATTTTGAACATGAAGATATATCCTACGAACTCTAGCTTTTAAAACAGGGGTAGACTCGATAGATAGAGCTAAGCATAGACAACAGTTATACCAAGCATATACAGTTTACAATAGGCAAGACAGGTAAGGATAAGCACAATTAATAATCATAACTCAACATATACGATCCCCAGTATAAATCCCATAGTCTCATCCCCAAGACACTCATAACAACAACTCATCCGTACTTCATCACATAGCACACTTTGTTGGCGCCACAGGACCAATCGCATGCCCATACATGAGGGTTAGCGCATATAGCTCTGACACGGCCCCGCAGCACCCTGCCCCGTATCGCAACACGGAGGGGTCGATCGCAACCGACCGATGAACCGCAGCTCATCATAATGTTTGATCGCAACCAAACAGTGGACCGCAGCCCAAGAGTCTGTCATCTGACCGCAGCCAGGAAATATGAACCGCAGCTCATGTAGAAACGTTTGATCGCAACCAAACTGTGGACCGCAGCCGGGAGTGTAAATCTGACCGCAGCCAGCTTCTGAACCGCAGCTCAGGAATAACCAATCCGATCGCAACCGAATTGGGGTATCATGCACACATAACACATAGCAAGCACATGCAACCCACATTAACACATTGGGAAGGGGGAGAAAGCGTATAACAAAACCTATGCGTGATCCTTCACATACTAAGAATAATCCTAAGGGGTTCATACTTCTTTCACCTAGGTCAACGGGATACCAATTCAACTAGCATGCAATATATAAGACTCATACAACCTACGAACGGTACCCGAAATATCCAACTAGACATAGGCACGATGGACGGAGTCCGTTGGGACACCACGGGGATCGGGGAAACATCAAACGGGAAAGCCAAAATCCCAAATTGGGGTACAAACCAGCGGGTAGCCGGTGGGTGAGGGGTCACCCGCCGGCTGCCCGCCGGCGGCACTGTTCCGGGCAGCTGCCCGCCCGCTGCCGGCGTTGCCCAAGTAGGCCGCGGGTAGGTGGCGGGTCCCCTACCCCCACCTACCCCCACTGACTCTTTTTCACCAAAAACGCCCCGGGAACCTTTGTGGAACTCGAAGCCATGCTTAGACACTTTCAAACGCAATTGATAACACACGTAGACAATTAACAGATCAAAAATCAAGAAACATATGGCACATAACCTATCATGCTTTTCTAAACATAATCAACACCCAATCATGCGAATTCCCACCCAATATACCAAGAATAATACCATACGAATTCCACGATATAACCTAGGGTTCTAATTATTTTTAAATCAACAAGAACACAATTCATCTTCCAAAATCAAGATTCGGTAGGAATATCATATAACTATCAAGAACCTCATATAATCATTAAGAACATCAAGAACACCATATAATTATCAAGAACGTTATACAATCGTCAAGAACACCATAATTATCAAGAACCTCTCATCATCAAGATCACCCATGGAATCATCCCACCAATCATCAATAATAATATCACAAATCATCAATACACAATAATATGGGGAAATCCTAAGAGGGGAATCATAGCTATGAAAATAGGTTTTGTTGAGACATGGGTTACCTTTTAGCCTTAATTAATTCCTTGGCTATGAAGGGTCTTTCTTGAAGCTTTCTTCTTTCTTGATTTCTCCTAGGGGAATTCTTGGAACTTCTTGTGTGGTGAGGGATTATTGTGGTGGGGGTTCTAGGTGCCTCTTAAGTCCCCTATTTATATATTTAGGAGTCCTAATTAGGAACTAATATTATAGGCTTGCTAATTCTATTCCTTTTAGGGCTAGGGGTTGGGATTTAGGGATAAGGGCCCATGGACTATGGTGGGCCTTTCCTAATTAATTATTGTGATTTAATTCTTTCTTTTGGGTAATTGGTTAAATTATTAATTGGTTTTAGGGATCATAACACGGGGTGTTACACCACCATTAAACCATCAAGTGGGAAATGCACAAGGAGGAACGCCAATGCATGCAAATCCACCACCTCAAGGGCAAGAAGCAAATGCGGGGCAAGACCTATTGGACCACGTTGAGAATGAAGACTACTATGAAGTACCTCAAGAGGGGAGAGGAAGATCAATTGCGGACTATATGACGCTCGAATATTCAATACATAACTTGATTTGTGTCCCACCTCTTGAGAATGTCAATTTTCAATTCCATCCCGCGGTCCTAAGTCTAGTCCAAAACAGCCCATTTGGAGAGACAATTTTGGAAGATCCCCACACCCATATCACGTGATTTATTCGAGCTTGTGGCATCTTAAGACAAGGAGGAATACCCGATGAAATAGTGAGACTAAAATTGTTTCCATTTTCTGTTTCAAGTGAGGCATTAAGATGGTTAGACTTGCAAGATGATGATCACTTTATATCGTGGGCTCAACTGCATAAAGAGTTCATGAATGAATTCTTCCCAGACTAAAACCATGAAGATTCGCAAGCAAGTGCAAGAATTCATGCAAGGCTCATTGGAGAGCCTAGGAGAGGCTTGGCGGAGGTTTAAGTCATTGAGAAGATAATGTCCACCGGATTTGCTACGCCCATGGGACGTGATTAGTTCGTTCTATGGAGGCCTCACGGATGAAGGAAAGATGTTATTAGACTCATCCTCAAGTGGAGCGTTCGTATCATCCCCACTGGCGGATGCCGAGGCATTGATAGAAAAGATTTCATCAAATACTTCCTTTTGGTATAATAGGAGAGACTCAAGGCCGGGGATGTACGAAGTAAAAGAGAGTGTAGCCAATGAGGCGAAAGTCGAAGCAATGACTCAAGAAATCAAGAAGTTGCAAGCGGTTGTCGAGAAATTAGACATAAAATCCCAACCTTGCATGGCCCTAGCATTGTATTGCAACGTATGTAGAGGTCCTCATGACACCAACATTTGCAAATCTACAATTCAAATTGAGGAGGTAGAGGCGGCAAACTATCCGCCACCGCAAAAACCAAATGGGTGGGGAAGTGAGAATACAAATTTGGAAGCAAGGGAGTCAAGGGCGACCTCAAGGAAAGAATATTTATGGTACGGGAGCAGAGAGAAGAGTTACATATGGCTCTAACTACAATCAAGGGCAATCTAACACTCTCTACCGACCCCTAGGAAACTCCCAAGGTGGGATGGTGATACAAAAGAGCGAGGCAAAAGATGTAGAAGAAAGGTTATCCAAGGCCATCAATGACTTGAAAAGGGACCAAGGATTTTTGAGGCAAGAAATCATACAAGAAATTAGGCAAGTGATAGCTTCGGTGAAACAAGAGTACACTCTTTCGTTGAAGAGCATTGAAACCCAAATGTGTCAAATGTTCCGGCTAATGTCCGAAAGACCATGCGGAACATTACCAAGTAATACCGAGAACAACCCCAAGGAGAGAGTGAATGACGTGTCCGTAGTAAGCCCAAAAGAATAAGAAAGAAAAGATGCAATGGAAAAGGTGTGTGAAGAAGACGAAACCGACACCGTGAAGGTCAACAAGCAAGAGATTACCTCTTGTGATCTCTTGAGTAAGGAGGAAGAAAAGGACACCTCTTGTGCCCTTAAAGAAGTTGAGAAAGAAACGCCACCATCAAAAAGCAAGGCTCAAACACCTCGTAAGGCAAGATCTAGTAACCTACAAGATTTTGAATATGAAGGAAGGGAAGATTTTATTTTGAATACTCTTCATTGTGCATGTTTTGTTAATGAAGACTTTGATAGTGATGAAGAGGAGGTTTTACCTCAAATCCAGCTTGGTGCAGAGGCATCGGCTATCCTTCACAAAGGATGCCCAAGCAAGCAAGGTGATCCCGGTGCATTCTTTGTGAAGTGTGTTATAAGAGATTGTGTTTTCAAAGATGCCTTAGTCGATTTGGGAGCCTCCATTAATATCATGCCTTCCCATATCTTTGAAAGGCTCAAGTTGCCTTATATAGCTCATACACCACTTGTTGTTCGGTTAGCCGATGAGACCAGTCGTTACCCCCGAGGTTTGGTTGAGAATGTACTTGTCAAAGTTGGAAGAAATCTTGTACCGGTCGATTTTATGGTGTTCGATGTCGGAAAAGATTTAGAGGTGCCATTGATTTTAGGAAGACCGTTTTTGGCAACTTGCCGTGCCCTAATTGATATAGGGACGGGAAAGCTCATCTTTTGAATCAATGACGAGGAAGCCAATGTGAACCAAAAGGAGAAGAAGGAAAGTGCTTGCTCGGTGATCACAAAAAGAGCCAAGAAGAAAGTTAGGCCATGGTGAGAAATCCGAAAAGTGCCTTGGGTACCTAATGTAACACCCCGTGTTACGACCTTCAAATCCGGATTAATTATTGAATTAGTCCCGTTAACAAATGGTTGAAAAGGGATTTAATTTAGGATTCCCCTAATTAATTAGTACGGTCCACCATGGATCATGGACCCTTGTCTATATTAAAGACTTTAAGGTGGATAAGAACAAGGAGAGTGGATCTTCTACCCTTTATACTCTAATTAGGATTCCCTAACTCTATAAATAGGGGATTAGGAAGCAATTAGAACCCTCCCACCTCTCGTAACTCTAATACACGAATTGCCCAAGAAACCTGACCAGAGGAATTCCCCACCACCAACCTTAGGGAAATCAATCGGAGGGAAATCTTGGAAAAGAACCTTAATAGCCAAAGGAGGATTAATTAAAGCTAAGAGGTAACCCATGTCTTACAAAACCTATTCTCATTGCTATATTTTATTGATTGGCTCCGTTGAACGATTGAATGTAATTTTGTATTTGTGCCTTGTTAGAGCTTGTCTTTAAGAATTTGTGATATGGATTATTGTTATCCTTGATATTCTTGATGGCCCTGTGTGGTCTTGGTATGTTCTTGTATTTAATTATGTTTAAAGCTTGTCCTTAGGGTTTATATTGTAAATCTTGTTGTTGGAATGTTCTTGGTGTTCTTGGGTGGGTTTATGCATGCTCGGGTGTTGATTCAAGGTTAGGGCTTGTTTTTAGGGCTTTGCAAATAGATTTCTTGATGATATTGAGATTCCTGATGCTCTTGGACCATTATGTGTTTAATCTCGAGTCTTAGCATGTTTAAAGACTGTGTTTAGGGTGTAACTGTGGTGTTTCTTGGTTCGATTCTTGTGGTTCGAGTCCATATTGTTGATTGATATGTTTTGGGATGTGTTTGGACTTGATTTCGGGATTAATTGAGGGATTCCCGAAATGGAAAAAAAAATGCCAGTTTACCATCGTACCAGTGGGGGGACGAACCCTCGCCTGACCACCCGCCGGTATTGTCCACCGTACCAGCGGGTGGACGGTGGATGGTTGACCACCCGCCGTACCACCCGCTGGTACGGGCAGGGCAGGGTGTTGTTTTACCCCGTCTGATGTTTCCCTGTGCCCCGTTTGGTGTGTATGATGTCTCATGTGATGTTTCGGGTACCGTTTTGAGAGTCGTGTGTCGTGGTTGACGTTGTTGTTGAGCTTTGATTGTCGTTGTCGTTGAGGAATCATTATCGTTGTTGATTGAGTGTTGTTGGCTGCTGTTATCACCGTGTATTGTTTGTTGTGATTGATTTGTCCATGATGAGGAAGGAGATGTGATTGGTGGAAAAGATTTGTTGGCGGTTAGCACAACGAGTGCTCGGTCATTGTGCTATAGGCACAGACCACCCTTGATTTGCTTGCTAAAGGCATGGATCAAGTTATAAGCACTGCGATGCCATGTCTTTGTGCTATAGGCATAACCCCTTGATTATTGTGTTATAGGCATAGATCATGTGTTAATGGTACTGCGGTGCTATCAGATCGGTGGATTTGTTGGCGGTATGTCGGTGGGGAGCATGGGTGCTCCGGAGGGATAAGGGAGGCGTTATAAGGGTGGCCTAGAGGTACATGTTGGAACTGAAATAAGGGTGGAGAGGAGTAAATGTTGGAACTTGGTATAAGGTTGGATCATGGATGTATTCTTTGTTGATTGCTTGATGTTATTGATTGTTGTTGAACCCCATTGTTGTTGTTGTTTGCTATCATCAAGCTTTGTTATTCTCTTATTGTGCGAGCTTAGGATGCATGCTAGTGCCTTTATGAAGTCAACTTGTTGTTGTGTCTTGATTCTTGATCTTGGTTTTAAAGTTAGCGTTGCTTAGGGTTATATATGTATTCCAGTCTCAAAATGATTTCCTATACTTATACTTATTGTACTCAACGGGTGGGAGTGGGTTACTCAGCATTATTCGCTGATGGTTGTTACACCATATGTTTTTCAGGTGCAGATCAGTAGCTTCGGAGTGCGCTAGATGGATGCAAGGACTTAGCTTAGATAGTCTTAGCCTGGGTAGATGGCCTGCTTGCCTTGACCTGTATTTTGGATATTGAACTTGAATTATGTTCTGTCTAATTAGTGAGCCTGTGCATCTAAGCTCTCAAGCTTGGATGTGGCATAGCACCCCGACTCTTATGCTTAGTTTCTGCTTTGTTTGGGTACTTAATGATATATTTGCCTTTATTTCATAAGCTTTAAATGTTTTAAAAATTAGGGGTGTTACACCTAAGTGCCTAAAGGCCAACAACTTCGAAGGAGGATGAAAAAGGTAACACGTCTAGCCAATGACGCTAAATGTGGCGCTTCTTGGGAGGCAACCCAAGGTTTCATTTTTGTTTTGTTATTTTTGGTTTTAGTTTTTGTGAATAAAGTGCAAATGATGATTGTGACCTTAATTTCTTTGTTATTTTGGACTTGGAAAAGCTAACATTTCAAAAAGTGGAAATGGGGGAAGTTGAAGGAATTGAACAAGGAGAGAAACACCGAAAAGAAGAGAGGTGGGAAGTCACAACGCACATTGTGACTTGCGTTGTGATATAAGCCGAAGGTCCAATGAAACAGGGGAAATCACAACGCAACGTTGTGAACCATGTTGTTGAGCAGAGAAAAAAGGGAAAAATCCCAGAAAGTTCAACGTGCGTGGCAACACACGTTGTAACCATCGTTGTGAAGGAATTCGATCGGCCAACGCACCCTACAACGCCAAAGCAACGTGCGTGGATGGATGACTGAAAAGGGAGGAAATTCCAGAAAGTACAACGTGACTCACAACACATGTTGTGAAGTAACTTGATCGACCAACGCACGACGCAACGTTCGTTGCGGCTCCAGATTTCAGGGTTCTGAGATTTAAACTCTCAAAACCTCCCATTCTCTCATTCAACACTCCCACAACGAAAATTTCATTCTCTCACACGCAAGGTATTGTTCCTTCTCCATCTTCTTCTTCAATTCAAGTTTGAAGGTTTCAAGTGCCCAACAATTTCTTCCCAACAACAAGGTAACCATCTCAACCTCCTAATCTCCATTAAGGAAGCTCAAAGCTTTCTCTCTCTAGGTTGGAAGATGGTAGATTGTTCTTCATGAAGTTTTATACTTATAAATTGCTAGGATTTCTCAGTTGTTGAGATTGTGAAATATGTTTGTGATCAATTTGTGATTGAATGACATTGTTGTTGATGCATAGATGCAAGCATGAACCCTAGGTGTAAAATTTGGGGATTTTTTATTTTGAATTGTAATGTGCCTTGCATGATGAAATTATTGGTGAGAAATTGCAATTGCATGTTTGGTATGATCAATTTTGCATAATGTGAGTAAATACCACCATGATTTTGCATAAACCCTTTTGTGATGAATTCTTTCATGAACTAATTGGAGAAGATGAAGTTGACTTATTGACTTTTAGAATTGAGCTTATAATGATGAATGTGTTGAATGTGCAATAATGATTAGTCATCTTTGTCTCAAGTTTAAACTGTGGAAATTAACTAAAATAGGGGAAGCTATGTCAAAATTTTTGTAGAATTGGGTAATCTATCTTTGAAATTGATAAAGGGAATTTGAATGCAATGTGTTGATACTCAATGTGTGGCATGTTATCTTGGTTATTACCATGCGAAATTGAGAACGTTTCTGCTGTACGCAATTGCAGGAAATGTGACTCATGCAACCGAAGAAGAAGAGATACCAATGCCACTATCAAGGAGACTACTGTACCCGATGTTGCCCCATGAATTTCCCGAGGCCAATGATTTGATAATCCTGCAGGCCTACGTGTACTGACTTCACCAACAATAGATGAAACATCTAAAAGACGTCAATGAAGAAGTGATCGACGTGACTCGTCAGATGATGCGACTATTGTCACATCAACGTGAGGTTATCTACGAGCAGTACGATCGGATTGGAGTGTTGCACGCTCAGGTCGCGAAATTGAGAGTGATGTTGGCAAGAGCAGAAGGGCAACCTACAGGAAGGATGGAGCCATTGATGGCGGCGTCATTGGCATAGGTCGCGCATCACAGGGACAATTGATGTTACAAGAGCAAAACACTCCCCCGGGGAAGAATAAGGCTTTTGTTCCAAGCGAGGAGGAAGTGGAAATTTTTATCACAATTTCATTTGTTTTATGTTTTTAGACTTCGTGTTTGATTACTATGCATTACGTTTTATGACTTTTCGTTATTTTGCTTTTGTTTTATCGTATTTGCATGAAGCTTGCGTATCTCTAGTTGGTGCATGGAGTAGTTTATTTTCTACTTTGATAATCTCCCTAGAAATAATCTTAGGACTAGTCACTTTATATTGTTTTAGTTTACTTTCCTTATTGGAAAAAAATGAAAAAAAACCAGAAAAGAAAAACGCAAAAAATTAGGTAGAATTAGTCTTCCCATCCCTTTTTCATGAGATTAAACTATGCTACATTTCTTATGCCACTTGAAAAAGCACGTGAGTCTTGAATGCAAGATTTAGCTTAACAATTTTAATTTTATTTCAATTATAAAGCTGGACTAGAGGCAATCCTACTCCAGACATAATAATGAACATAAAACAGATAGTAGTAAAAAAGAAAGCATGCACTAGGAAATGTTCACGCAGTTCGGAGCCTCACTCCTACGTCTGCGGGGCTACTCACATCAATCCAAATCCACTATGATAAAAAGGAGTACAAGAGGAGAGTTAATTACACACTAAAATATAACATATAACTACTCCAGAGACTACTCCAGTGGATCCGATGTGCAGGCGATCTTCGTTTCTTCATGAATTGGTTAAGGACCTTTCTTCAGACTCAGCAATACAGAATATATATGGAATAATTAACCAAGGAATTTCATAGTAAAAT